TTGAGGACAGAGAGGTAAAGGGAGTTGAAGTTCGCCAGTGAAAACTGGCACACAATGTGGGTGGAGATCCACCTGCAAACTGCAGAGAGGTGAGACGGTTCTGACTGGAGCAACCCTAGAAGCTGGAACACCTTTGACTGAAATATCCAGGATTGTCGGAATAAAGAACCTTAGAAGGAAATAAGATTTGGAGAGCATTTTGGGATCCTTTTTTCTGTGTGGTTTTTTGTTTGTTTATTTGTTCGTTTTTGTGTTTTTGTTTTTGTGGGAGAGTTGTTTTTGCAGTGAGCCGAGATCGCGCCACTGCACTCCAGCCTGGGCAACAGCGTGAGACTCCGTCTCAAAAAAAAAAAAAAAAAAAAAAAGAAAACCTGAAGCCAAGCCAAGAATAATAGAAGGTCTAAAATCAGACAACTGGTTGAAGCAGTTGATATGGTTGGGCTCTGTGTCCCCACACAAATCTCATGTTGAATTGTAATCCCTATGTGTCAGGGGACGGGCCTGGTAGGAGGTGATTGGATCATGGGGGCAGATATCCCCTTTGCTGTTCTCGTGATAGTGAGTTTTCATGAGGTCTGATGGTTTAAAAGTGTGGCACTTCCCCCTTCACTCTCTCTCTTTCTCTCCTGCTGCCGTGATAACACATGCCTTGCTTCCCCTTAGCCTTCTGCTGTGATTTTAAGTTTCCTGAGGTCTCCCCAGCCATGTGGAACTGTGAGTCAATGAAACCTCTTTTCTTTAAACATTATCCAGTCTCAGGTAGTATCTTTATAGCAGTGTGAAAACAGACTTATACAGCAGAACTTGATCCTGGGCTTCTCAATTCCTAGTCCTGAGTTTTTTCTAATTCACTTTGCCCCTTCATTTATCTGCTACGTATGTAGCCACAAGGTACAAACAAATCAAAAGCATTTGCCATCAGAAAAAAAAAAAAAAGAAGAAGTTCATGTTCTGATAGATTGAAACTAGTTTTTATCAAGATTGAATGTCTTTCTGATTTTAACCAGAAACAAATTAATTTATGTGTACATTGTAACTTATTTTAACACAGACTTCTTTAAGGTGTAGAAGGCCAAATGATTGGGGAAAAGAGGGAGGCTCCATTCCCAGATGAAACTGGGGGACTCCCCCGCTTCTAAAGCTTGGACTGGCCACAGAACACACTGTCCTTGGAAGCCCTTGGGAGCCTGTCTGCTGCCTGGGTCTTAACTCTCCACTAACAAGTTAATGAAATAATCAGTAAAGGGCCGGCACACTTGGAATACAATCTGAACATTGTTTCCTTAGTGCCTTTGTGTCTTTAGTCACGTTCCCTAGAAGCAGCATGTGAGACCAGGATCCTGGTGCTTTTGGTTTATTGAGGAAATGTGCTTCAGTAAAAACATGTGAGGGAGTCCACTAATTTGCTAGGGTTGCCATAGACTGGGAGGCTTCAACAGCAGAAGTTAATTTTCTCGGCCCGGCGCGGTGGCTCAAGCCTATAATCCCAGCACTTTGGGAGGCTGAGGTAGGCGGGTCACGAGGTCAGGAGATCGAGACCATCCTGGCTAACACAGTGAAATCCCGTCTCTACTAAAAATACAAAAAAATTAGCCAAGCGTGGTGGTGGGCGCCTGTAGTCCCAGCTACTTGGGAGGCTGAGACTGGCGTGAACCCAGGAGGCGGAGCTTGCAGTGAGCCAAAATCACACCACTGCACTCCAGCCTGGGCGACAGAGCAAGACTCCGTCTCAAAAATAAATAAATAAATAAAATAAAAAAGGAGTTAATTTTCTCACAGTTCTACAGGGTGGATGTTCAAGAACAACCTGTTGGTAGGTTTGGTTTCTCCGGAGGCCTCTCTCCTTGGCTTGCAGACAGCCCCCTTCTCATGGTATCCTCACATGGTCTTTCCTCTGTGCACGAGTGTCTCTGGGAATGTCTGTCCACATTTCTTCTTCTTATAGGGACACCAGTCAGGTTGAGTTATGGCTCATCCTAACAGGCTCACTAAATTAAAATTAAAATTAAAAGATGGTGACCTCTTAAAAGGTCCTATCTGCTAATATGGTCACATTTTGAGGTACTGGGGTTAGGCCTTCAGCATATGAATTGGGGTCAGAAGACATAATTCAGCCCCTAAGGGGGAGTGAGAGAAGGGTGACCAGGATGAGGATGCTGGGAAGCAGGATGTGATCTCTGGGAAAGCCCAGTCATAGCCTGGTCCATGGACAGGGAGGAGGTGACGGTGCAATCAGTCAAACCACAGAGCTGCCTGGCCTTGAAGTAAAGGGTCCGGGTCTTTCTGGCTCTGTATCTGCTAGGTGGCTGGCCAGTCCCCAATGTGTATGTGGTGGGGAAAATGGGGACATCCTGAGGTACCTACCCATATGTCTCCGGGCAGGGGGACTCCTGTGAGTCTAGAGCACTTTTCCAGAAAAGGTCTCACAGGTGTATGCCTCTCAAACGACCCAGCAGCTGGGGCAGGGGCCCCCAGCAAAGAGAGCCTGGGTGAGGCACCAGCGGCATCCACGATGCAGGGCTACCTCGGCTCTTCTGTGTTTCACAGACATTTACCAGACTTCTGGCTCCATTGGCTAAAGCCACACTTCCAGGTATAAACACAAGATACAGGAGGGCTGCAGGAAAGGGTGGTGCCATTTGCCAAGACCCCTCTCACTCCCAGGGCAGGAGCCCAGGCCCAAATCCCTGACTTCTGCTCAGTCACTATGTCAATGAGCCCGGCTTCTTTCCTCGCTTTTTTTTTTATTTTATTTTTTTATTGAGACAGAGTGTTAGTCTGTCGCCCAGGCTGGAGTGCGATGGTGTGATCTCAGCTTGCTGCAACCCCTGCCTCCCGGGTTCAATCAATTCTCCTGCCTCAGCCTCCTGAGTAGCTGGGATTACACACCTGCCACCATGCCCAGCAAATTTTTTTTTTTTTTGGAAATGAAGTTTCACTCTGTTGCCCAGGCTGGAGTGCAGTGGCGCGATCCTGGCTCACTGCAAGCTCCGCCTCCCGGGTTCACACCATTCTCCTGCCTCAGCCTCCCGAGTAGCTGGCGCTACAGGCATCCGCCACCACGCCCGACTAATTTTTTGTATTTTTAGTAGAGATGGGGTTTCACCACATTGGCCAGGATGTTCTCGATCTCCTGACCTCATGATTCGCCCGTCTCAGCCTCCCAAAGTGCTGGAATTACAGGCATGAGCCACCGCGCCCAGCCTAATTTTTGTATTTTTAGTAGAGATGGGGTTTCACAATGTTGGCCAGGCTGGTCTCGAACTCCTGACCTCAGGTGATCCACCGCCTTGGCCTCCCAAAGTGTTTTCTCACTTCCAAATCCACCTTCTCTCCTTTCTCATTGCTATCACCTTAGTTCGGGGATCCATCATTCCTCACCCCTGTTACTGAAGGGTTTCTTCTCGGACCTCTCTGCCTCTAGTCTAAACCCCATCTGACTGAGTCTCACACCACAGTCAAATATGAGCAGCTCCCTTCCTGCGGCAGGGAGGGCAAAGACAGAATCTGTTTTGTTAGGCATTGTTTCTCCAACCGTGTGTTTCTTCTGTGCTATTTAACAGAGTGTGACCCTGGGCCATTTTAACCTTTCTGTCAGTTTACTCATTTGTAAAATATAAACAATATGACCAGGATACCTTAGAGTTTGGAGAATTCCATAACCTGACATGCGTTCGGCACTTAGTGCAGTGTCTGGCCCACAGTGAGCACACCGAGGGCTGCTGTGATCATTTCTGTTGCTAGTGGCCGCAGCAGGCAGAGCTATAGGACCAAGCAGAGTGCTGGGGGCATAGGCAAGGCAAACAGGTGGTGTTAGAAGGGGCCTGGCTGTCCATTGGGATGAATATCCCTATTATTTCTCCTGATATTTCTGCAGATGGTGAAACCAAGAGCATGTGTAACCCCAGTTTCAGTCTTCATCTCTGACTTCACAGGCCTCCAAGGTCAATGTTAATGTTAGTTGATAGTTGACACTAACTGAGTATGTGAATGTTAGATAAAGGCAAGAAAACAAAAATCCTGTCATCGAAAGAGGTGACTGGGTTCCAGTGAGCCACGATGGTTACACCTGGTGTTAATAATTTCACAGGGTGAAAAACCAGCATGGCAATATTAGCTAATTGGCATGAAATCCACGCTCCCCTGGTTGTTTAGTTCACCAAAGTGCAGCCAACAAAAGCTTGAGCCATATGACCGCCTCTCTCTGGTGGCCCCGGCAGTCTCATCCATCCTGCATCCTGGTCCAGCTATACCCTGTTCCTCAACATCCAAGACGCTCACACCTGAGGCTGGGCTGTGCCTCACCAGGCCGCTGGCTCTTCTGGAGGGGAGGCCTCCCAGCAGACCCCCCTCTTTCTGCCTGGGGCTCCTCTACCCTCCTCTCTTCCCCCTACCTCCTCTTCCACATACCTGATCCCACTGCAGAGCCTACGCGATAACCTTTGCCAAGATGTAAGGAACAGATACCAGATGATTCACACGGCTTTCACACAGGACAAGTTTAGTCCCATACGTTCACAGTCAGAGTGTTTGACAGTTGGACACCAAACCATTTCCTTTCCATCAATGCAAAGGCAGGAATAACCATAACAGTGACCTATTTTTTTGTTGTTTGTTTGTTTGTTTTTGAGACGGAGTCTCACTTTGTCGCCCAGGCTGGAGTGCCGCGGCGCGATCTCGGCTCACCGCAAGCTCCGCCTCCCGGGTTCCCGCCATTCTCCTGCCTCAGCCTCCCGAGTGGCTGGGACTACAGACGCCCGCCACCACGCCCGGCTAATTTTTTTGTATTGTTTTTTAGTAGAGACGGGGTTTCACTGTGTTAGCCAGGATGGTCTCCATCTGCTGACCTCGTGATCCACCCGCCTCGGCCTCCCAAAGTGCTGGGATTACAGGCGTGAGCCACTGTGTCCAGCCACATCTCGTTTCTTTATCTGCCTTTAATCACCCTCTTTCCTCTCTCTATTTTTCTCGTTTTTTTCTTTTCTTTTCTTCCCTCCAAGTCTGGTCCGTCTGCTTGGGCCCCCATCTCATTTCCCGTTTCCTCATGAAGGCTGTGACACTCTATGAACGCCTCACTATAAAAAGCAGAAGGAATCAGACCCCACTGAGTAGTGCTGTGGGCCCTGAGGACGCTGTTCCAGAGAGCTCTGTCATTCTCCCTGACGCTCACAGACACAGGAACATGACTCATCAATGAGACAGTGTTGCCACCCGCCTTTCTCCCAAGCCTCCCTATAAAAAGAGGAAATGGCCTCTGACACTGGGATGTATGAACAAGAGTTCCACACACAGCACACAGCCTGAGAACTTCTGCCATGGACTTCCGCACTGCTTGTAGGATGCTGGTCTCATGTTTGGGTTTTCAACCACAAATCCAAAGAAAATGTTACTTGAAGTATGATTTGTAGGGAGCAACCTAAAGACTGATTCAGAAGGAAAAACAAAGGTCAAATGGTGCCACTGTGATATGACTTCTGCAATTTAAAAAATAATTCTACTTTTTTAAAAGAATATTTTAGCAATGGAGAAGATGGACATGAAAAGATCTATAATTAGGCTGGGCATGGTGGCTCACGCCTGTAATCCCAGCACTTTGGGAGGCTGAGGAGGGTGGATCACCTGAGGTCAGGAGTTCAAGACCAGCCTGACCAACATGGAGAAACCCTGTCTCTACTAAAAATACAAAAAATTAGCCAGGAATAGTAGCACATGCTTGTAATCCCAGCTACTTGGGAGGCTGAAGCAGGAGAATTGCTTGAACCCAGGAGGCAGAGGTTACCGTGAGCCAAGATTGCACCACTGCACTCCAGCCTGGGCGACAGAGCAAGACTCTGTCTCCAAAGAAAAAAAAAAAAAAAGCTATAATTGTTTTTAAAGTGCATAAAGCAATATTATGGAAGAGAAACGATCAATTAGCGACACCAATCAATAAAGCTAGAATGAGACATAATTAAGCTAGTTCAAAGGACAGTCTGATGAAAGATTACAAAAAGCTCTCTAATTATGAGGAGAGGAAAGAAGAATCTCAGGCAAGACTGCCAAGGAGGTTACAAATTTGTTAACCCTGCAGCAGAAATGAGAAACCCAACAATCAAAGAGAAAACAAAACAATGTCATTCCAACAATGGACAGGCTCCATTCTCCGGTTAAAAGGATCTACCACCAGGTTTAAAGTCCTCAGCCAAGTTCTTTTCAGATTCCCCAGAACCACTTAGCAAACACACATGGCAAGAGCAACCTTCAACTCACTCTATTATGAGTACAATTCATCAAGGACTGAGGACCCTAGAGCATTTCTTCTCCAAACTTTGATCTTCAGGATGCCAAACATGGTAGGCGGATAGACTGGCCTGAAGGTAGTTAGTTATCTCAATTGATTATTCAGTCAGTTACAGATTGAACTCCTGGTTCTATTTCCCTCCTTCTCACTACTGAACTTCACTAGCCTTAAAAAAAAAAAAAAAAAAAAAAAAGAGAGAGAGAGGAGAGAGGCTAATAATTTGCTCAACATGGATAAAGTCATCTGTGAAAAACAATTTTTCTTTCTTCTTTTTTTTTTTTTTTTGAGACGAAGTCCCGCTCTGTTGTCCAGGCTGGAGTGCAATAGCGAGATCAATTTCAGCTCAGTGCAACCTCCACCTCCCAGGTTCAAGTGATTCTCCTGCCTCAGCCTCCCGAGTAGCTGGGATTACAGGTAAGAGCCATCACACCCGGCTAATTGTTCGTATTTTTAGTACAGATGAGGTTTCACCATGTTGGCCAGGGTGGTCTTGAACTTCTGACCTCAAGTGATCCACCCGCCTCTGCATCCCAAAGTGCTGGGATTACAGACGTGAGCCACTACGCCCATCCTGATTTTTCTATTTTCAATCAGGCAGATGGAAAATAGAAGGGACTAGAAATGATTAGAGAGTTAATCTAGAACTGTAAAACCCACCTAAGTGAAACACCTTTTCTGCTTTTTCTTTTTTTTTTTTTTTCTTTTGAGACAGTCTTTCTCTGTCACCCAGGCTGGAGTGCAGTGGCACGATCTCAGCTCACTGCAAGCTCCGCCTCCTGGGTTCCCGCCATTCTCCTGCCTCAGCCTCCCAAGTAGCTGGGACTACAGGTGCCCCCCACCATGCCCAGCTAATTTTTTTGTATTTTTAGTAGAGACGGGGTTTCACTGTGTTAGCCAGGATGGTCTCAATCTCCTGACCTCATGACCCGCCCTCCTCGGCCTCCCAAAGTGCTGGGATTACAGGCATGAGCCACCACGCCCAGCCTCTGCTTTTTCTTATTCCACCAACAACCTAGAAATAATTCTTTTTTTTTTTTTTTTTTTTTTTTTTGTCATGAAGTCTCGCTCTGTCACCCAGGCTGGAGTGCGGTGGCGTGATCTCTGCTCACTGCAACCTCCACCTCCCAGGTTCAGGCAATTCTTGTGCCTCAGCCTCCCGAGTAGCTGGGATTACAGGCGTGTGCCACCACTCCGCCTGCCTCAGCCTCCCAAAGCACTAGGATTACAGATGTGAGCCACCATGCCCAGCCAGAATTCGTTTTTTATTGATTATTCAGAAAGTGCTAACATTCAGAATTGACGCTTTGAATCCCGTTTCATTTTCTTGTTTTCTCAGCCGAGGTGGAGAGGACACGACACACCCTGGAAGGAGGACGTCTTCACATTTCAAGTCACTGTGGCCAGTTCTGGCCCCAGAACCACCAGGCACTGGGAGGATCAGAGCAGACGTCAGAGACGTCTCATGCTTCCAGACCCTGCCATTCCCATCTCCTTCTTTGTTGCAATAGAGCAGACTTCTGGAATTGGCAGTAAACTGGCATTTGCGCTCCTAGTGTAAAAGAAAATCTGCTTCAGAGAACAAGTAGCAAATTCCCCAAAACAAACACTTATAATTAAGTAGTGTGTGTGTGTCTTGGTTATAGGCCACCAGCAATGAAAGGGCATAGCCTGGTGTGAATTTGCATTTGAATTCTTACCAAGGAGGCAGGCCCAGCAAACCAATTAACCAATTAAATCAATTAACCAAATATGTAATTAACCTTGAGAACAGAAGTGTCAACAACAGAAGCACAACAAAGAAAGTAGCTTCCTCTTGGAATTGTCTACTGGGTTTAAGCCTTTTAGTTTTCTGTCTTAAAGGCGTAGCCGCAGAGGGAAAACATTGTCTGGGCATAAGACCAGTGGCCACGCAATGTCATCCTATGGACTGGCTGGAATCCAACCAGAGGCAGTGTTTCCCACCTGTTCCGGCCCATCGTCTGTAAGTAAATACACAGGAGTTTTGGAGGACGTGGTCCGTGAAACACTGGCCCATTCATAGTCATTCCTTATGGAAACACACACGTCCACTATTAAGAAAAGGGGACTAGCCGGAAATTTCCAAGACAGATCCTCCCTTGGAGATGACAATACCTGGTAATTCAGACAATTGATTCTAAGACAAAAGGGACCGAGACAGGAATGGCAGCGTCTGCTAAACACAGTTATGCGAGGCTGTTGTTTGGACTGAGCTCTGACTCTGGGCCCCAGCAATTAGCCTGAGTAACCAGTATGGAGTCACTCAGGCTAATTGCCACGAGATCTGAATGAACTCTGAAACAGGCCAGTTTTCCCAAAACAGAAGATACACAACAACCAGTCGAAAGGAGCCTAGTGTACCAGAGCCTGAGTGACGAGGAAGTTCCCCTCTGTTTTAACCATCTGTAGGGAAAGTAAATTTGAAATGATCAATCCACTTTTTGTCCCTTATTTCTGCTCTCTTCAGCCTTTTTGTGCCTATAAAGCAAACCTCCTCTGCTCCACCCATCAGAACACTTACTCTACCATATAGAAGGAGGTGCTGCCCGTTCTAGCATCACACATAAAAGGCAGTTTGATCTTTAAAGTGGTTGTAATTTCGCCTTTTGACAGCTTTATTTTATAGAGGTTTAATCTGTACACAGAAATCCCTGGGAAAGAGGAACTTGTGTGGCTATAGGAATTCTGTACTGCTCTGTGCAATTCTGACACGTGGAAATTTATCATTATCAAGACAATACATTAACGCCTTGACGTAATGACTTTTCAGTAGCTCACCTTATAAAATTTTAGTTTTCAAGTAGCTTCAGAAATGTTACTTAGAATTAATGATGTGAAAAACACTAAGCTAGGCCTGATGCCTTCGTGTAGCTTTCATTTAGAGGTGGGGTGAAATTCACTCAGAAAAAAAATAATAACCAACAAAGAGTTATATGTTAAACAGCAAAAAGAAAATAATACAGACCAGAAGCAAATATTTATTGACCGAGTAAGGGAGACTGACTTAAACCATTACTCACATCATTTCAGAAAAGCCTAAATCACAAAGGAGAGGTAACACGATCAAATCATTAACAGGGAAGCAAAAGCAAGTACACCAGGAACCTGGAGTCTTATCAGGAAAATAAATATGTATGTGAAATCTCATACGGGATTTTCCTATTGCTTTCCTATAAAAGATGTGGTTTCCGATGTTGACCTGGGGCAAAATCAAAGCTCACCTGGGCTAAGTCAGCACACAGTTCCTAATCCTTAAGTAAAAAGATACACTTGTGAACAGTAACGCTCAGTCAAGCTCCCAGCCTCTCCACCTCATCAGGGAGTTAACGTGCATTTTATAACCGGGCCAGGATGTTTGAAGAATCGCATTCCATTCACTAAAAACCCAGGGATCTCATTCCCATCCCAAATGCAGGGCAAGCCCTCAGTGTTGTTTCAGTTAACCTCGCTGGGCCTCAGTTTCCTCGTCTGAAGAAGGAAGGGACTTTGGAATGGGAAATCTCTACGATCCCTCTCATGATTCGAATAGACTATTTTTCTTTTCCACCAATAGAGGAAGGGACTTTTTGACAGCCAACATTTCCATTCCTACTATTTTGGAACAACCAGAACACTGAAAATTTGGTACGAAAAGCTTTTCTTACGATAAAGAGATAGCATTTCTTTGAGAACAGTTGCTGAAACTTTAGTCAGGGAACTTATCAAATAAAGAAACCACCTCATTTCAGACTATGGGCTGAGTCCAATAAAGTCAAACCCAATACCTCCCAGGAATTTAGAATTACACAGTTGTTGATCAAGTGGAGAGAAAAGAATGTGAATTTGTTTTTTCAAGATTCTCCAACACCATATGAAGTGTGGCTGCCTTTTCTTTAAATCATATAATGGAAGAAAACAAACTTCTAGAAAAAGATATGTATCATCTCCTCCAAGTGGTGACTGGTCCCTGATCAATGTGCTGTGGTTTACCTTGCCTTGAACCCAAAACAATCCCTTGTCCTCACAGAGCCTTGGGGATGTCTGGATGTCTGATTCAGGAGGCTGAATTCCTATTCTAAGATGCTTCATACAAATTGTATTCTGTCTACATCTGTGCAAGTTAAGTGTGTTAGTACTGACGTGGCATGGATTTAATCATTGTAATGTTTGATAGACTGATAATATATGATGTTAATGTTAAATATTAAATGTAATAATGGGTTTTGTTTGTTTTTTGAGACAGAGTTTTGCTCTTGTTGCCCAGGCTGGAGTGCAGTGGCAAGATCTCGGCTTGCTGCAACCTCCGCCTCCCGGGTCCAAGTGATTCTCCTACCTCAGCCTCCCGAGTA